ATATATATATATATATATATATACACACACACATATATATATATATCAAAAAAGAAAACAGAATTGATCGCACTTGGCGTGCACTCGCCAAGTAGAGTGTACGTATAACTGTCGCGTGTCTTCGTGCGTATGTCTGATTCTGATTTGCGTGTATTTCAAGCGGAGTTTCAGTGTGCCGGAGGGTGAGAATAGTAGGATACGCAAAATGTGGAATATGATGTGCGACGTGATGCCGACTATCGCGGAGGACAGCATTAGCCAACGAAGTTCGCAATTCTCCGGCGAGGATGCGAACTTCGAGCAGCTGATGCTTTCGATGCTCGACGAGAGGGACAAATTAATGGAATCGTTGCGCGAGAGCCAGGAACGGTTACAGGAAACGGAAGCACGTTTGCAGGAGGTCGAAAAAGAACGAGACTCCTTGAACCGTCAGCTGAATGCCAATATTCCCCAGGTTTGTATTTTCTGTTTACCTTATTTTTATTGCGATCGTTTTGTCTGCTTCTTAAAGGGATCAAAAGAACGTTCGTCGTAAACTGATGCTGTACCAGGATCCAAGGATGCCTCGTTTCATTTCGTTACGTATACTATACGTGTATCAGAAAAAAGAAATTTATGCGTATCTGTATAATCACAAACGAGGCTGTACGAGCGAACAACTATCCGGAAAGGGTTATAAAAACAGAATTTCTTCGATGCAGAGATCGATTGTTAATTCGTGACGATGCGATGCGTAACCATGCAACCTTGCCGATGTTACGCTTAGTTGTACAGTGTCTGCGATACAACGTATCATCGTATAATGCAACGCATCACGATACAACGAGTACCGATATAACATGCAACGATGCGACGCGTCGAAAGAAAGAGTAATTTATGGATAGCATAAAAGTAATGCGTGTAAGGAACGCATGGTAACCAGTGTTTGTAGTATTGCGGGGATTAATCGGACTTGTTTCTGTTTTAAACTGGATACTCGAGTAACGCAACGGTTCGAAACACCGCGTTGAAAGTGTTTTCCAACTCGAAATCACTAACGTACTACCTGCTTTCAGGTAATTCGCCGAAGCTGAATTAGCACGTGTTAACTTGCTCGATAAGCGAAGAAACACGGATCAGTATTTGTTCGTCTATAAAATTACAGAACAAGTCTAAGGCACTTCATAAGGATGACAACTTCCTTCCGTGCTTCTTTGTTTTATCGTGATTCATACAGTTTTTAGTTACGTCTGTCGTAAACATTCGTATCTTCTTCTGTAATAAGTGATTCATCGATGACCCATGGAACATTTTTCTTCGTTTTCTTTCGAGCTAAAGTTTGCCTGTACTAATAAGCTTATTTGCCCGTCGTTTATCGCAGCCGAGGCGCGTCAATTTTAAACGAACGAAAGGAATGTTAGTTTAATATTATTTTTCGTTTGAAAAAATTTAATCCGGTAGTTGAAAAGGTTAGAAATCGACGCTCAATACGCATTCGCACGAGTTGCGTTCTATTACGGTCGCGATTACCGTAGCGAAGGGAAACAACCGACAGCAAACGTGTCTTGTGTTTTTCTAATTGCACGATATGTATAGCCGACTATGGATCTCTAATTGTCGAGACGTTTACGTAATGATTACGGTAGAAACGATTTAACCGACACGTTATCTTCCAGTGTCCCACTTTTTCAGAGAGAGAGAGAGAGAGAGAGAGAAATGTCGGTGTTGTACGAGTCGCGTTATCGTCTCTTCTTGCGAACATATCATTCATTTTATTGCAAAGGTAACAACTAGAAAACGATCCTCAGAGTATGCGACAAAGTGTTTCATTTTTATAGAATCGCATTAACATTTTGACAGTCAGAGGTAATTCATCTCTGCTCTACGTATTAATGTTCGAGAAATTTGATGTTACGCGGTGTTATTACCACCGAAGCGGTGATTTTTCTTTTTTAATAGAATTTAATAGAAATTTTTTGATAGAAAATCATAACTTTAGAGTACCTAGTAGAGTTTGTTCGATTCAGCATTATTTTCGATATTAAATTACTTGAATTTAGGATGCATCCATATTTGTCCGCTAACAGTATAATATTTTACAATTTCAGGAGTATTTCCTTTTAACCAATTACTTACTCGAGACTGATCATTGCAAAGGAGAAAAAAGAAAAGATCGCCGAAACGGGAGGATCGAATCGTATTTATTAAAAGTTCTATCGAAAAACTGTAGCCGACTAAAGAAAGTTTGAAGAGGAGAATGCGAAGAGAATTGTAACGTTTATTCGAAAAAAGAAAAAAGGAAAATTGTGCCGGTCGCTTAAGTAAAATGGCCAATGCGCGAGAATTTCACGCTTCTTGGAAAGCGATTAAGGACGCAAGAACAACGTCGCCTGTGTGCGTATTGATTGCAATACTTATTTCCTTGACCGGCGTACGTACCATGGAGGATTTCTTCGTGCACAATGTGTTTCCTTCGACTGGAAGCGCAGAAATATCTGGTAGATCATCGAAGATAGGAAACAATCGTTTTCGTTAAAGTTGTTCGTTATGGGACGCAAAGGCATTATCAGAGACGATTCTGTTTTGTATTAGTAGTAGGTAGAGAGTAAATCGATCTGTACGTAATTACCAGTTATTGTAATCTATGAACGACCTTTTTCGGACGAATTTCGTTCTTTACGGATGATTCCTTTTCTCAGGTTCGAGATTCTCTAAATTTCTGACTACGATTCTGACTACGATCTGTGACTATGATGCGTTGGTTAGGTTCTCTAAACATTTCTGTCTCTTTTTTGTTACATAAAATCGTCCGAAGTTCCAGCAGCGGTGGCATTTATTAGAAACTCTCTGTATAATACGCCAGCGCGTACATAAAAGCCAATCGGGCGACGGATGGATCGATATGGCCGTCAGGTTCTCTCCCTTATTCCACGGATATATCAATGCTCCACATTGTGTTCCTTCCCTTCGCGCGTACTAAGTATTCCTTTTTCACAGTCCGCCTCGTACGATGACTTCGATAGGAACCGAAGGAAAGGATAAATAGGATTAGAAAGCGGTGTTATTCTTCGGATCGCTCGAACAACACCGTAGGGCAGATTCTGCCTAGCGAACTGTTCGACGCAACTTCTTTCAAGCTCTTTTACCCGAAATCTTGGATTTCGCGTTAATTAATCCCCATTAATTTGCCTGGAACATAGGATTTTCCGAAAGTCGGTGAACGCTTACCGTTAATAAGAATATATTATAAATGTGTTAGGCAAAAAAGATATTAGTAAAAAGAGAATATTCGACACGGCACGTGTCGAACGTTTCGTCTGCAACACTTATCGTTTCGGTGAACATTTAGCGAGATACGCTAGAGAGAAGTTACCGGTGATAAGGTGTTTATCGCTCGTTATCGTACAACAAACGCATAGACTCGGCGCAGTTCTCTGTCGTACACGCACCATTTGCATCGATCGGCGCTTCTATCGCGACGATTTTTCTCGATTTTTCTCGATTTTATCTATCGTACCAATCAATTAACCCATCGTAGGCAATTTAAGTCGTCGAACTGGCTACTAGTATTTCACCGTCACGGTGAAAATATAATATTTTCATTTTTATTTTCATCGGAAAAATTTGAAATCGGTCATTCTATCGTAGAGTAGATAGTTGGAAAGTTGAACATTTCGAACGATTATTTGAAATAAATATCTGTTTTCGCGTAGATGTTGTTCTGTTCGCGACGTAATCGGTTCCGTGAAGCTTCTGGTAGCTGACACACAGCTTTAGAGATTACATGTTCCGTGATGAAGGTATACCCATCACGGTAACGAAAAAAGAAGAGAGAACGGTGCATTCGTGATATGCAAATGGCATGGCAGAGGAAACAAAGGCATGCTGGCTAAATTCACCGATAAAGCGAGCGTATTTTCGAGACTACTTCTGGCAAGATAAGACGCTGTCGAAGCCAATACGGCTTATAGATTTTCATTGGATCTTGCCAAACGTTGCAAAAACACGTCTGGATAACTTGTCACGTTCTATCTGCATAGAAAGATCGATAAACGAATGGTGTCGGTATTGCAGCGAAGTAAAATAAATCTCTACCTGTAACTAGATTAGAAAACTTTTCGATAATAGAAAAAGCAGGATCTAACATACGTAGATACTTCCGCTCGAGACGACGCGACGGAGAGAATCTCTTTGGTCAATTTGTAACGATCGGAACGTATCTGCATCCATCTCGACGAGTGCATACAATTGTTTTCTCTTTCTCTGAAATTCTGTTGGAATTTTTTTTACGCCAGGACTACGTTTCCTGCGCGACCTAGTGGCACGTATTCGCTACCGAGACAAAGCCTGAAAATGCCAGCAGGGAAATAAATGGAAGGCTACTCGAACGAATATTTAAGCTTCGTTTTTTCCTTTTCTTCTAACTTCGTTAACTAATCTTATTTCGAAATTATTAGATCTGATTCTGATTAGAATTTTCAATTAATCATGAAGCGACGAAAGAACGCGTACGATGTCGTTCACGCAAAATCTATTAATATATAAATCTATCAATATATAAATCTATTAATATATAAATGTATTAATGAATTAATTCGATCATTGGCACTTATTGTAAATGCCGATCCCACAAGAATGATAACATCAAATATGATTAGAGAAATAATTGCGAACGCGTGTAACACGACGAGGTTTCGAAATCTATTCGATCAATGTGTCTCAACGAATCGATGTTAGATCGATAATCGATAACAGTTTATTTCGAACGTACGTTACATATTTATGTATGGAAAATTTCTCGCAATTGTAAGGTAAATCCGAGACAGTATCGAAGTTTTACTGAAATTTCGTGAAATTTTTCAACGAAAATCGTTGCTAGCTGCTCAGCGCGGTGTTTGCAGCTACGGCCACTGACTTTGCTCTACATTAATTTCGCGTTACTGCCTTTAGCTTGGCCGTATCAAGTGCACGTTCGAACAGAATATCGATTCTTTCTGTCGCGCATCGTAAATGCTACCTCGTACTTACACGGATGTACCTCGGACCACGTTATCGAACGTCTTCGCGTTCGTTTCCGATCGAATTTCATCTTTTTTCGATCGATTTTCGCTTGGCTGACATTCAAATTTACTTTCTCTTCTCTTTATCAAAGCTCGATCGAACGAACGCGTTTCATCAAATTTTTCATTTTTAACATATCTGTTTCCACGATCTTACCATTACAATAATCGATGAAATTTTAGGCATTCGTAAATACACCGTCCCCTCGATGCTTGTCGCGTCAATTCAGATCACTTCGGACGGATGATTTTAATAGCAATTTCGGTTAATTCAGGCTCTTAATATGAATCAGAGCGATTGAATTAAATTGAACTTTTAACGAGAGAGAGAGAGAGAGAGAGAGAGAGAGAGAGAGAGAGAGAGAGAGAGTGAGCTCGTTTGTCGCGTACGAAAGTGGAGTAATATCTTAGGTTTCCTCCTTCGAGCTGTCCTCTACTGTCTTTTTTCTTCATTAGAACAACGCGTTACATTTCTGCCGTTCATTTCATACTACATACTCATTGATTGAAAATTTCCTTCCAGTTAATCTCGTATTATTTGTTTCGATGAAACAATAACCATAGAATTTCTTTGAATTATTTAACGGTGGCGCACAGTTTCGTTCGTATCGCGATAAAAAAGGAACATTTAATAAGCTGTTAGTTATAAAGAATTGGTCTTAATTCGAATGAACCTGATCGCGGTCGTTATGGGTCTAACGTTAGGCGAAACGTTACGTATATCGTAACGAAATAGAATTCCTCGCGTTAATCGCATTCGGCTAGAGAATAATCGTAAAATTTTTCAGGGTATCACGGTTGTATTACGAGCAGGAGACAGGCCTGTATTCGTTGGCGATCCGTGGCCGCGGATTCCACGGGTTCCACACGCGTACGGAGATAGGGTGTGGATATCGTGATCGTGATCGTGATGTAACGTGTGCCGGATTACAGGCTACCTCGAAGCAATTGGAGTGCGAAGGGCAGAGTCGCTCGAGTGGCTCGTATTACGTGATTTCTGCTTTCGTCCTTCCGCGATTTTCCTCGGGATCCTTTAAACCCACTTCTCCACCCGGCAAACAGGTTCTTCGGTGCGTCCAAGATCCTTCTAAGGTCGTTACCTCCTTCTTCTCGGGATTCTTCTTTCTTATCAAATCGTCCTAGATTAATCACGAATCTTTTAGCGAAAATCATCTTTCTTTCACAGTTTAATACTTAAATACAATTTACACGGCAATAGCGTTTCGAGAGCGTTTAAACAAACCTAATACACCGATCGATGTATCGTTTTGAAATTGAATTTAGCGAACGAAAGAAAGATTCGATCGATCGCCTTTGGTCATGGCAGAAAAGTTCGTATTCTCGATAAAGCGATCAGGAATCTCTGGATCCTCGAAACAGACGGACACGTTCGAATTACCGGTTCTCTACGATATTGCTCGGCATTTCCTACAATATTTCGATATTACTCGGAACGATCCTGGCCGTACGTCGACCAGAAAGAAAGGATTTTCCCTGGCTGGCAAGCATGCTCGGAGCGATCTCGGAGCGATCTCGGAGCGATCTCGAAGCAGCGGCAACGCGACACAAAGACCGTTCCATTTCTGATACCGCAGACAGTTTTGTCCTGTCCTGGAACTCGACTGCGGGATAGAAGCCAGGGTGAAAAGTTTCGACGATGAAAACTCATTTTTTCCGCCTGCTTTACCCACGCTCCTTTTTCAACTTGCTCTATCCAACGATCGACCGATGAGAAAACTGACCTGCTCGTAGTTTCGACGCGCGTTGCTGCCCAGAGAGAATTGCAAAAAATTCCAACCACGTGCCACGAAAGATTAAATAGCGGCGAAACATTTTCGAAAGTTACTCTTACATATTTTCATACTTTTATTATCCATAAATCTCGTGTTATCGGTGCTTTTCAATTTTACAGATACTCGAGCTTAGTAACTTGTAAGTTACTCGTAGCATAATTAGTACAGTTAGGAATTTGCTAATTTTCAAATTTCAACTTTCCAACTGGAATCGTGTTAGGGTGTGTGCTCGTGCACGTAGCTGGCCCCACTCTAGATTCTACCGAATCGTGTCGGTGCCAATAATGGAGAAATTAAAAGAATAGCAAATGTCATAATAACTTGTTCGAAGTAGAAATTTCTTCGATGAATCGTAAAGTATCGTAAGAAATTTTCTTCTCGTTTAGAATCACTGTTATTTTCTCTCGATGCCAGCCAACACGTAACGATCTGTGCACGCGAAAATGGTCCCTCGAAAGCCGGCGAAGAGGCCCCGGGAAGTTTATCGATCTCCGCTGGTAGGACTGATTATTCGTCCAGGAAAAGCTTGGAAAGCAACCTATTCGGCTTGGAAATTTGTGAAAGGACGAAACGAAACGAAACGAAACGAAACGAAACGGAACGAAACGAAACGAAGCGATAGGAAACGGAAGGAAAGGTAGAAGGAAGGTGGCGCGGAAGTTTGGGGTAAAAATTTCTAGGACGAAGCGACCGGGTGCAATGCACCGGTGTACGCGATATACGCTTCGCGATCAATACCCACCCCACCTTCTCGGCTGGCGGCGCATGAATGAACCTCGCCTTTTACACACTACTCGGTAGTAGTAGCTCTACTCGCGCGCGGCTCGATGCAGTAGCGCCGCTTCGCAGCGAGCTGCAAACGCCACGCCACATCGTCTTCTACATCGAACGCAGCGGTTTTCATATTTCTATTCGCACTTCGAGTTCACTTATTTCTTCAAATAAAAGGGTTCCTTCGAAAGAATCTGTAGCCTTTCGTAAAAAAACAGATATCTTTTTAGAAGATTCGGATTCGATCGACTAATCGGTTACTCGGAATATGAAAAGGAAAAGAGTTAAATGCGGTCCAATTTTTCGGATCCTCGATAATCGCTGGCACGTAACTGACCGACCTATTTTTTTCCTTCTTTTCCTATTCACTGCGTCATACGATCGATCGGATCTTTCTTTTTTTTCTTTTTTTCTTTTTTCCTTTTTTCGCTATTCCAGTAGCATCGAAAAAATTAGTTTCTGGGTCATCCTATCGCGTTCACGATATTCCTTCGCACGTAGGTTGAGAACCATGTGTTCAAGAGTATACTCGCAAGACACACTGCCGTATATAGTTCGAACGTTAGCCTCCTCTATCCACCCACCGCATTATTACCGAGGTCTCAGCTTTTACGATTAATTCGAGACAGTTCGATTCATCTTGCGCGATCGTGCAAACTCTTCGAATCATCTTTGTCGAGAAACTTTTCGAGCTTGCACTCGGTGTACGTTAGAACCATACGTTTTATATCCTCGTCATTTTCGAACTAAACTACATTTTAACTTGTTTCGTCTCCGGTTCGTGAAACGATAATATTACCAGTTTTATCTTCGACTCTGTACGTTCGTTCGTTGAATTTATACGATTATCGAAATTCTTTCCTCGAATCTGGCCCGGATAAGAGACGCGCGAACTCGTTGTTCGACGATGCAAAAATTTCATCTGTTCCGTTTATTTTTTAAATCGAAAATTGCTTTATTTTTCTCGTGGACCAATCGTCGAACCGAAAAGTTGCCACTCCGTGATATATATATACATCGAAGCGTATGCTTAGTTACGTGGCCTTAGATGTCTCTAAGGCTGAGGCAAGGGAACAGGTGTGCAGTAGCTTTTCGCCACATTCAACCGCGATTTCGCAACATTATCTCGCCGCTTATCTGCCGCGTTTTATGTTTTACATCCGCTCGAGTTTAATTAACGGGTAACACGAGACCCGGTACTTGTAGCTTGCCATCGAAATGTCCGTCAGATGGGATGCGTGGGTGGTGAGCACTTTCCTTTTCCGAGATGCCATTCACCCTTCAACCGCGCGACACTTTCAAACGGTTTAACAAATTCATCGGCCGAGTAATCCTCTATACTCTATATTCTACGAGATACAACTTGCTTAGTAATTCCGTAAATAAGACGAAACGTACGAGAATAACGTCTCGATTCGTAATCGTAACGTTATCGGTCATTCTGGAAAGTTATTCGTCGCGCAAAATCTTCTCAGCCATGTACCAGTGCCATAAAGGACATAGTTCTATTTGTTCGGCAACTTATGACGAACAGTTTCCAGAAGTCGGGCATAATATGCACCAGATGTTTACGGTTCGACTCGGTCACCGTGCAAATACCGACTTCCTTTGTTACGCTCGACGCAGATAATACACGCGTATTGTCCGATTCACCCTGGACATTCTCTCCGATAATTCGCTGCCTACGCTTTCACCGTTACGCTTACGCTCTGACCACGACGAATCACGATCGCTAACTTCTATTTGGTGAAATGAAAGTAGCCTTCTTAGAAGTTCTAGGAACGATAGAGCAACGGTAGTTGGACTCGTCTCGAAGAATGATTGATCGGTGAAGGGTAAATATCGTAATACTCTTGTACGCGTAGGTACTTTAAATTCGCGTATGAATGAAGCCATTCGCGTGCACCGATGATTCAGCCTAGAATCAATGTACATAACGTACGTATGTATAATCTGTGCGCCACCCCGTCTCGTCACACCCTCTTCGTAATTCTTTCTTCCTTTCCTTCCCTTCCCTTCCCTTCCTTTCGTTTCGTTTCGTTTCGTCTCGATTTCGCCTCCGTTCTCGGTATTTTGCGGATCTTTGCCAACGTTTCACTCGTTTCCGAACAACCGAGATTAGACTTTGAAAATCCACTCGATCGTTCTTGACACGGATCATCTATCTATCTATGCGCGTGTGTTTCTAACGCGAGCGATCACCGTGTTAATACGAGCGTTAGCGCGTTGGAATGTTAGAATTCAGCATAGACGGATAAAAATCTGTCATGGCAACGCCTACAAAAGCACGTAGAAATTGCATCCGTTAGAACAGGGTGTTGGCTGCTGTTCTCTTAGCAGCGTGGTAGCGGTATCGTACACGCGTAATTGGCTCGTGTTAGTGTTAAGAATGCAAATCGCCCGATACACCGAGTCCCATTCAATCGCGAACATACGCAGAAGCATGCACCTCCCCTCGGCCCTCGACACGTTCTTATTTACATGCTTACGTAACTCTCTCTTCGTCCGCCGCGTTTACTTCGTATTTATTTATTCTTCTTTTTACTTTTCTATTTTAGATCGCTCGTAAATTGTTGCATCGAATACCGATTAAAGCTATTCAGGATCATTCGATTCGAGATTTTGACGTTAACGATCGGTTCGACGGACTCGAGGCGCGTTTCTCACATTCGAACAACCGAGACACGGACATTGCTGCAATCGTTGCATATTTTTCAAGCTGCGCCACGTTATTGAACCGTGTGGATGGACGCGCGTAATATTTATGGAACGCAGGTTCACGGTACTTCGTAAAGTCTCGAATATACTCGTCTAATTTAGTTAAACATCGAGATAGTTTCTCATTTCTTTCTTCTAATTGTTCTCTAATTAGTCTCTGTTTTCTTCCAATTATTCGAACGAAACAGATATTTTTTCTTCGAAATCTCTCCTCAGGATTTCATCTTAACGACATCAGAATTCTTTCCATTCTGAATTCTGCTATATCATTGTTTCCCGTGGTCGATAACTGACAGTCATACGCTGCCACGTGTTCCTCTACCTATGAAATACGTGAACCGGTATCGATCAAGGTCGCACGAATCATTCGAATCATTCGAATCATTCGAATCATTGAAAATCCAAGTTACAGAATAGTACAGTAGTAGTATAAATAATAAGTACTCTCCGGTTTTTAAGAATAATTACGTTGATACGGTCGAGAGAAGACTTTGAAAAAGTTTCGCGTCTGCTGGAAGAGAGAAAGTTCCTTTGTACGAATCTGCTCTCCTCCGACTAAAAATAATCGCGGACTTGTTGATTCGAAAGGCTTTCCAGCGTGATTAAAAGTAGTGCCGCTAGATTTACGAGTGGAATTCGTGATAAAAATCTTCCCCTGTATCCGAGACGATACAGAGACGGTACAGAGACGATTTATTTTTACCGCAAAAATATAGCGTAAAATATATGTATTCGCGAAGCGAGCTACTTTCGAATCGACGTTTCATACGTACTATACGCAAAGACGAACTTACAATTAGAGAATTTATAGAAACGAACGAACGACTAAACTAACGTAACAGCGAGCGCGTCCAAAAATAGTTGGCTTAACTAGGTAACCGGTCAATTATGAGTCGGTATGGTCGAGTCTAATTATTTAGCACCGTTCAATGCGAGAAAATGAAACTGAACGGCTCGTACCGTTTCGACAAGGGAGAATCTTTCGACAACGTTCAGCTAACCGGATAATGGCGTAATTGTCAGCAGGTGAGAGTTTTACGCGTTGATCGATTGCTCTTGGCGTACTTGTTCAAATTACCGCGTAACGTTCTTTCAGCTTTCTTCCTCGCAATATCTGCCAATGCAACTGCAGATTTTCAACCGCAATTAGAACGAACCGATTCTCGCTACAATATCGATACGCGGAGCCACTCGGAAAAGCCAATAAATTAATAGTTTTTATTTACGACATCGATCGCGTTTCGGCGCAGAGAAAGGACAAAATACAAAGTATCGTTCGAAAGCTTGATACCTTAGATCGATCGATTCCATGACGCAGCGACGATGTCGTCGAAACACCTCGGCTGGATCGTTGATTAGTTTCGCGCGATTAAGATTGCGTACGTAAGATGGGATTTAAACTCGCGTGCTAACGCGCACTTTGCACCGCGATGGTGCAACGGACTGTGAGAGTTTTGCAGCTGCAGTTCGTTAGAAGTGCATGCCCCTTGCTGCTGCACGAATCGAGATACATCGAAACGTATACCTTTTCGCAAGAAATATAGCCAATTTTTCTTCTCCCTAACTTCGACACTCGAATCGCTCGACCGAAACTCTTCTACATATATCTCGGTTAATTACCGATTTTTCCTCCCCTTTCCTAAGAATTTGAAGCATCCTAAGCAACTTGGAATCTGTTTGATAATTTGTTGAAACAGTGCAACAAGTAGATAAAAGAACGGAATCGTTGGTGTGACTTGCGTCGGCAATTAAACACTTTCACCAGTACGCGTTTCACGAGATTTAAAGGTAGCCTAGTTATTCGAGTACGAAGCCAATCTGTGATTTCCTTCGTACAGAGGGTCATTCGTTTGGTCTTAGGAATCTATTACCTTAGACGAGTTATCATTATTTTTCAAATGTTTAAAACGTCGATAGAATTCCCTGCGAGATAATATTTTTTCTTCTCTAATTACGGGTGCTATCGAACGATTGTATTTCTCGGCAATTTCGTTCAACGCACCGCTGATGTTTTAATAGGATCTCTCGATCGACTGTAATTAATCAACCCTCGTCCGGATAATCAGCTCCTTGCAAATCCATACCGATATCGCCCCTGTCGAAGACAATATCCAACCGCTTTAAGGCCTTATCAGCTATCGTAGCGCGATCTAAAAGGATCGCTTCTTGTGCTACTGTTTCCCTCTAATAAGCGTTAATCACTCGATGCTTAGCGATTCGATAGACAAATTAATTTAGCTTCGTTCGTTGTATCAACGTGCTCGTGTGGCTCACCGGTAGCTCACAAAGCCTAAGGCTTTCGAACGAATCACCGTGTTCCGACGAACAGCGTGAACTTGTCGCTCTCGTAGAAATTAGTTTGTTTTCTTATTTTAAGTTGGCCGTGAGAAGGCCAACGCGTCCAAGAACGCCTCCTCCACCCCCGTGGTCGCGACGTAACTTAAAAAACAAAAAAAAGAAAGGAATTATAATATAATTCCCGTTTGTTTGTAAAACGAGTTATTAAATTGTCTCGTCGAACAGAACATAACGTTCGAAATCGAAGATTAAATTTAGACGAAGCTGTTTGCCTCTTTTAAAATGTGATACTGCTTGCTCGTTATCGATCGTGGCAGCATTTATAAATAAAGATTTAACATTCTGCCGGAATGTCGAGCGGAAGTAACACGTTCGAAGAAGTGTATAAAATGCGGTTGAGTGAAAAAGGTGAAAGCGAGATTTCCCTGTCGAGTTTCCCGTAGAGACCGAGAGTCTATGGACACCTGTGATACGATTGCTTTTCCAAAACTGTCTCATCGAAATTATTTCGAACAACATTGATAAGATATTAATATGATATTAATAAAATATTAATAAGATATTAATAGGAGGGGTATTGTTTGATTTCAGGAATTTTCGCAATTGACGAAGGAACTAGCAGCAGCCCGCGAGAGCATTTTAGAAAGGGAGGAAGAAATATCGGAGCTAAAAGCGGAGAGGAATAATACTCGTGTATGTAGAACGCGACTTTAACGCGTTTGATAGTTCGAAGCGGGTACTTGTGCGGCTGTGGGCCACGATATTACTCACCAAGACGATTCTATTGCCATTTCACAGCTTCTGCTCGAACATCTGGAATGTCTGGTCTCTAGGCACGAGCGATCGCTTAGGATGACTGTGGTGAAGAGGCAAGCGGCAGCGCAATCTGGAGTATCGTCCGAAGTTGAAGTGCTCAAAGCTCTGAAAAGTCTGTTCGAGCACCACAAGGCTTTAGACGAGAAAGTAAGAACTTTTCAGTCTTTGTTTGACGACATTGACGCGTTGGCAACCTTCACGGAGGATCAAAACGATTCCTATTTAACCCCTAAAACTAGTTACATAACTGATAGGAGAAGGCATTGTCGAACGAAAGAATGTATCTCTTATCCTAAAAGTTTTCTACGTTTACTAGCGATACCGTGTTACTTTCAAAAATCTCGACAGCTTAAATCTCCGATTTAAAAGGTTAACAAGATTCGCTAATGGATATGAATCGTTGATTTCAGGTACGGGAACGACTGCGAGTTGCATTGGAAAGGAATACGAGCCTGGAAGAAGAACTAGCCATTATTAAAGAAGAGGTACCGTCCTACGTTTCCTACGTTAACAAATAATTCTGTTTTCTGGAAACGATCGTAAACACCTTGATAATTCGAACGAATTCAATTGCAGCTTCAACAATATAAATTAAGCGGTCATGCACCGAAGACTATGGAGGATAGGCCCAAAGAGAATGGGCAAACGGATGATGGACAACAACAGAACAAGGTAGCCACGATACGCCTCTACGATATACCGCATACCCGTGCAAATGCACTCACAGATATTTCACATACACTGCCTCCCACCCCTCATATCTCACATTCACAATCATCGTGCATACATAAAGAGTGTTCGACATGTTCGAGAATCGTGATTTGCATTTATGCGATCTTTTCACTATGCATGTCCATGGTTTTTTTTATATAAATCAGCATATTTCACGTTAGCCATCGTTCCGTTTGGACCGATAAACTTCGTTTCCTGTGTCATCTAGCCTTCCTGGTTCTTCTATCTTTCTTCGATTTTTTTCTTTTCTTTTTTATTTCGTAATACGCTTCTGTATAATGTCACCGTTATAGATACTGATCGGTTTCGACGTTATTGGTCACAGATTTCAGCCCTCTCGAAAAGGACATGTCGTATCGATATCATCGTTCTTTAAATCCATTCGATCGACGAGAATTTATGTGTCATTATCTAAAAATAGAAACAGTTACCGTCGATCATTTCGTCCCTCGTTACCGGTTCTTTTCAACTAGAATGCTAAGCTTTTTCATCCTCTGCAACATAAATTCCTATCAACTTGGACGAATCATATAAAACAACGTCGTCGAGTGAAAAATCTGTACCGATTAACGGACAACGACCATCATCCGTTTTTCTCGCTCATCTCGATCGTTGCATCTATAAAAATGCATCCGCAATAACGTTGCACGGTAGTGGCTGTAGTCGCGTAGCTTGGTATAGATGTAGTTGTTGGGAATTGCGCGGCGATGCTGGACGGGCAATGCGAGCGAGGCATTCTGAATGTAGTGTTGTGATCGGGCAGAATGAAACTGAGCAGGCGGCAAGCCAGCAGGAACAACAGCACGAACCGCAGCAGCAACAACAACAACAGCAACAACAGTCGATACAAAAGCTAGGTACGGAGAAGTCGACAGAAATCGGGAGTAGACTGAGCAATGGAACTCTTGATCCGTCCGACCAGGATTCAGCGGCGCGAGTAATTGATTTACAAGCCACTGTCGACAAGCAGGTATGCAACTGTAACCACGACAAACTACTTACAGTATGTATCATTTCGCTGACACGGATAAATGTATATCTGTGAAATCATCTTGTACCCGCAACGTCTTTTATTTCATCACGAGTGTTTCTGCAAAACTAACGTGCTGTTACTCGTTCTACTCTTTTTGCATGCGTTTTTAACCAGTTTTCATATGTATACATATATACCTAGTAGTAAAAGTTTTTTGTACTTAATCGTTTTTCGAACGAAAAGATAGAAACCCTCGGATATTTCCCATTATAATGCATGATGTTAACGCCTAGAAATCTAACCTATTCGAAAGATAGCGCTAACTTACGCGTATGACACCGACATCGATAAAGTTTTAGAGTACTCCTATTAAGCGTTGTAGGTTGCAGCTAATAGCCGTGGAATAACTTGTCAAGTTGCACCCACTTTTATACCGCTATTCCTATATAAAAAATTTTGAAAACGTTTAATACAATATTCGTATAAACAATGTTCCGGTGTAATAACGCTAGTTCACATGTTACCATATTATTATTTTTCTCATTGATCGTGCTACTTTTATCGACACCCATGGCATGTTCTGGACTGTGTGTGGAATGCGTTTGACGACAGATACATACATGTTCCACTATAATTCAGTATTCGCATGATCTCCAGTCGACGGAAGTAAAATTCTCTCGAACAAACTTTTTATATAAACTACTCGATTATTAATGAAATTGTATGTCGACATGAAACATTTTATACGATGAGAAAACACGTACTTAAATTACACATTAAGTTATACATAGTAAAAACAAATGATTTTGTCTCGTGAAAAACCGCATACTTGCATTACTTTATTAACGCAAACACAATTTTCTCTACTCTGATCCTGTACATAGAAACGCGTCGAGTAGTATTTAAGTAACATGTTACGATGATTATTTTAGAGCTCAGAGTTAAGTACATGGCAACGACGGGTGGCCGAATTAAGCGGACGAGTAGCGGAATTGGAAGAAAGCTTATCCAAGGCTCAAAAAGATCTGCTGAAAACGCAAGAAACGAATGTCAAACTACAAAGAGATTTGCGTGAAAACGTTGCCCAAAAAGAGGACCAGGAGGAAAGGATAGCAACTCTTGAAAAACGATACCTTAATGCTCAACGCGAATCCACCAGTTTACACGATCTCAATGAAAAATTGGAACAGGAGCTGCAACACAAAAAGGCTCAATTAAAGGTAACCCTCCCCTGTCTTTGATAATACCCTGTCTCGAGCTAACCGAGATTCGTCGCTTAATCGAGATTCCTATACACAATATCTTTCAGCTCCAAGAAGAAAAAATAGCAGCAATACAAGAAAAACTAGAACTCGCAGAACAGAAATTAGCTCAATATGCTAAGTTGCCAGAAATGGAAGAGCAATTGAAACAGAGGATGGAGGCTCTGACGCAGGTGAGGAGGCCCAACCAGGTACGCAGGGGAATTAAATCGTATCATCAATTTATTCTTTTCTTATTCCTCTGCACTTTGATTGATACCTTTCAGAATACGTATAGAACGCTTGCCTTTCTCAAATTTCTTTCTTACGATTCATGCCGTACACCTCGGTTCACGCGTTCAATTTGCAACAATGTATTCCCGCTATACATATAATTTACTATTATTTACACGATACTTGACCGCATACGCTACACGAACAACAGTTTTCTCTACAATCTTTACCCGATTCAACGATATTAGCGTCTCGATGGTTAAGTATTAATTACACGGATTACATTGAAAATTCTACCGAATATTTGCTTGACAAAAACGAGTTATTTATATTCTGTTTAACACAGAGATCAATGTAATTATTTTGACAGCTTTTTAGTAACTTATTATTTAACTATCTTATCACGTTTTTCTACGATTATAGTAATTGTACAAATCTTGTGTCTTCTTTTCTACAAGCATGTCTTCGTTCTTCGATTACATTTATTATGACTTCGAATTAGATCATCCTTTTACCCCGTTTAACATAACAACTAATTAAATAGTCATCTTATTCTTAAGAACAAAGAAGTAATCGATTTTAAGTCTCTGCTTTGTCGAAGCAATTAATTTTAATTGCATGAAATGTTTATAATAAGCAGGCTCAAGAAAGGCACGGTAGTGCAGAGGATAGGATACAGAGATTGGAAACGCAACTAGAGGAAAAGAACGCCGAAGTGATGCGTGTTAATCAACGGCTTAAAATGAACGAAGAGCATAATACACGACTTAGTACAACGGTTGATAAACTTTTGTCGGGTAATTTATATTCATCTTGTACGAATTCGTTTTTGTTAACAACCTTGTTATATTTATGTCTAGATATATTGTTTCAGAATCTAACGAAAGGTTACAGGTGCATTTGAAAGAACGAATGCACGCGTTAGAAGAGAAGAACGCGCTCACGCAAGAGCTTGAAAAGACCAGAAAGATCGCGGAAGATCTCCAAAACGAGAAGGCTGAAATAGTTAAGGAATTAGGGAAAGCTCGTCTCGAAATTGATAATGTGAAAAGACAGATGCTTCAACAAGAAATCGCATTCAATATTCAACAAACGGACGCTTTGACCAGAAGTTTGTCTCCCAACGCGGTGGATCCAGGCTCCTTTTCTAGAAGCGCGAGCCACAGTAGCTTCGATACCCATTCTTTACCGAGGAGAACGGGTAAACGACCTGCGATCGAAGATGATCCATCGAAGGTAAACAAAATATATAAGCGTCTACGGATAAGGATGAGTGTTGACGAAAAAAGTTTATTTCAGAATTACGTAGTTCGCACTTTAGCCGAACAAGAATGGGAAAAATTACAGCAAGCGCATGTCCTTGCCAATGTGCAACAAGCGTTTGACGTTTCCAGTGACGCGGAAGGTGACGGAGACAATGAAAGCCTTTTTAGTTGCGCAGCCGATGTAATTAGCCCAACAGGACACACAGATGCTCAAACGTTAGCTCTCATGTTACAGGAACAATTAGATGCGATTAATAACGAAATTAGATTGATTCAGGTAATTCAGTATTATTAATCCTTTTTTACGAAGCGTATTTTAACGTCAGCATTTAATTTGTACGAAGGAAGAAAAACAAAGCACGGAAGCTCGCGCGGAAGAATTGGAATCGCGAGTTGGCAGTCTTGAACATATGAATTTATTAGCGAGAGGTAGAAGCCTGGAACGAGCATCTCCACCGTTAAGCGGACGATCTACGCCAAAATCGCATCATAGTCCTAACAGGGATTACCTACATAAATATCATACCGTAAGTATTCAAAATGAAATCTTTGATATTGCTATAAGTATCTTTGTAAAACGATTGGTTCGTTCAAAGGCACCAGCATCAATGTCCCCGGCACACCTCCACCAATACGCTGCTTCCTTAGCTAGTCCAGGTCAACTTTCGGAATCCCTTCCTGCAAGTCAGGTTAGTTATCGTGGTTAAAGTCATTTTGATACGTTAATTAAAGGAAGTGCATATGCAATTTTATGCATACCGCTAGTTACAGTTATCAGGTGAAGAATTACATTCAGTGAGCGAAAGGGATAGCACTGGCGGTGCAGGAAGCGGTGGCAGCGATGCAGCTTCGCCGTTAACTGCTCGATCTATCAGGCTGGAACGAGTAGTACAAGCACTTGCTCACAGTCAAGAAGAACTAAGAAGGTACGTTTTTAACCGACAACTTGTCAAAATATTTTGTTCGTGGATCCGATGCCGGAACCGCACACAATCGCTACCAATGAAACTACATATTATACGGTACTTTAGCAACCGCATCTCTGACAATGAGGACTCTACTTAACAACTTTAATTTATCGTTATTTCTTCTTTTCCGTTTTCCTTCATTCTCGTTTTTCTATCAATTATTTTGCCAAGAAATACGAAATACTTCTTTTGCATATCAATAAACGCTATTCCGTCGATTAACTTGCCGAACGTGTTAAACAAAGTCCTTGCATAGATAGAGGTGGGATTGCCAAAGGTCATGTAATTATTTTGTAAGTAGTTAGTATTGTGCGTTGTTTATGCTGCCAGACGTACTGGACAAGCCGGATTTCCCAGCAGTGGTTTTCCTGCTCACAGGTTAATTAAAGATTGTAGTACTGCATGTAATCCGCAACGTATGCCGCTGTGCACGACATATTTGAACGGGCCATGTGGGCATGAAATGAACAATCTTGAGGTCGACTTAAGCGACACTGATGGTAACACAGATCCTTTTTATACCCTTTTCTTGGATAGAAAGGATTATTTACTAAAACGATATTAAATTTTCATTTATATAACGAGAAAGAAGTAGGCTGTGAAGGAAAGAATACAGTAGAAATTTATACGTAATTCGATTTGATCTGCTATTAGAAGAAGAAGAAAAAAAAAAAAAAAGAACATAATCAACTATAAGTATGCAAGGTATCCATATACATGCCTACAGCCCCAATTTTCGAGCACAGTGGTACGGACGAACCATCCGATAGATCCGATAGAAATGAATCCCTGGGAGAAACTGATAATAGCTTCTTCCACCCATCGTACATTCAAGCCTGCCCAGTTCACGACAGACATCGTTCTCTCAGACAGACGAGGGAATTTAAACAGCCAAGAGAATTGCATCGATTAAACGTCGCGTTCGAATCTCCTACGCGAACAAGGTTGTTTCTTTATAAAATAGTTTACAAAGATATAGATCGATTAGATGAAATGATACAATCTATAAAAAGCGAATTAATTAATTACAATCTATAAAAAGGAATTTTATTAATAAAATAGTCCTTCTATATCTTTGTCCTTAAAGAGTGTTAATATGGCAATCCCATCTCATAAGCAGTGATTAGCTATATTTCCAGGTTTTTATGCCTTGCCTGTAATACTGAGTAGGTATTACAATATTTATCTTTTTACAAATTTTTATTCTCATAGATGTCCCTAGAAAAATATCTTACTTCGCTCAATTTTTTATTATACGTATCGCGTTCAAGATTACAAAACAGATTTTCATTTAACGAATGTTTTCTATGGACCTCTGAACTTTTGCTGGTATTGCTAGTTTTCTTTAATTTGATCGTTTACGCGCGCTAGTAGTAGTAATTGTCGTGTCAGTAGATTAAGGTAAAACAACGAGGCTTGAGGCTTCTTATGCTTGCAAAAACAACTCACAGTCATTATCGGTTGAAAAAATATTGTAGCTGTACCAAATGGTAAACGATTGCAATTTGAACGCTTTAACATAACGAATAGCTTTCGGTTCATCGAACAATGAAATATCGTTTTCGAATGAAATCATTTCGCACACACTCTTGAAAATTAAACAGCATTTGTGCTTATGCCTGTACATAATCATACATAAGCACTTAATACATAACATTGCTAATATTGATAAAAGTAATGCAATTCACTTGGCTCAGTAAGTTCCCTGATCATATTTCACTATTTTAAATTTTGTAAGTAGCAAAAAGTGAAAACCACCACGACCATTAGTCAGTTCTTAATACGTACTGCTGGTAAAATTCAGTTGTTTCTTTACGATGATATATACGGTTGAGAGAATTTTGAAATAACTTGAATAATTTGAATGAAGTGGTTCGCTAGGCAAAAAAAGAAACGCGTAAAAAAGAGAGGATAAAAGCAAAAGAGATAGCGTGTGGGCTAGAATGCATTGTTTAGAGTTTAGAGTAGAGATAGAAACTAGATTAGCGCTCCATGCAGCAGGCATGGGCAACATAACAACGGCGCACTCAATTCTGGGACTCCCCCTTCCCCATTGTCCTCACGCCATAGCAGCCAGGACAGTTTGCACAAGAACAACTTGCCCGGTGTCGGATTGCCAATCGGACAACTATCCAGCTCGCATTTGCACATGCAGTCAACGATGAGTCCAGCTACAGCGGCGGCAGTGGCTGCTGCTCAAAAGAAAAAGGGCATCAAGAGCAGCCTTGGAAGATTTTTCAGCAAGAAGGAAAAGGTGAGCAGTTTACGATCGTAAACGCGTTGTTAAAACAATAACGTCGAAGGAACAAAAACTATTTCGGTCCCAGATAAAGGGAAAAGACACAGCGATGCCTGGAGATATACCCGGTATGGGAGGAGCAAGTACTCCCGCTGATCCTGATTACGGGGATAGCGTATCCGTAGCTGGAACTATGGGCAGC